TAATGCTTGTTTTAGACTGCACTGAAAGTTGACTGGTTGTAACCCTGCCTTCGTGGGTCACAACTGAACACTGAATTCATGCTGACCTGTAACAGATTTCTAAAAGTAGTATCCTTTATCTCGCCATGACAATTGGGATAGTTGTACTTGTATTCTTAAGGAAAATTCTTGATTCATTGAATAAGGATAGCAAATTTGGTCTCGAGAGATGAACTCAGGCAGGTTGGAGCCACGACTCTTCTTACATCTTGCCACTGCATGAGTGTGTGTATGCATGTGAGAGGAGGAAGAGAACTGTTTGGTCACATTTGTGAAATCTGTAGTGGTAACTGAAAATTTACATTATAGTGGGGTTTACATAGGATGTAAAAATTGAGCTGGTAAACTCAGTACATTGGTTAAAGTCACTTCTGTTCTTTCCTCTCCCAAATAATCAGTATATATTAGCAAAAATATTGTTTGATCTCTTTTGTTCCTTTGTCATGTTCTTTAGCCAATGAGCACAACTCTTAAGGAGCGATTAAGGAAAGCAAGACGTTCATTTAATTCCAGTTTCACTGTGGCAAAACGCCTTAAAGTAGATATTGAAGAAAAAGATTGCACTACTTCTGAAGAAGGGGCTCTGTTGGCAAAAGGATCTTGTTCCAGATTACAAGATAATTGTGAGAGCCTGGAGGAGAACTGTGCTGCAAATATAAGTTTGAATAGTCCTTTACAGGAGAGACATTGCTATACAGCTGTTCAGAATTCTCCACATGCTGTGGTGTTGGGAGCTGGCCTTAGTCAACAAGAACTACTAGAGGAAAAATTAAGATTGCTGAAGCAGGTCCAAGAGAAGGAAGAGCTGCTTCGAAGACTCAAGCTAGTCAAGATGTACAGATCCAAGGTGAGAAGAGTTTCTGAACAGGTCACTCTGTCAGGTCCAAATATTTTCTCTTAATATTTTTAATGGGGCCAGGATGGGGGGACCTAATTTATTTAGGGGCAATATCAGGACAAATTTTGGTTCTGTAAAATGACATTTTATAATCGCCCTCCCCCCAGACCAGTAGACATTAGAGCTAATCAAAAAGCAGATAAGGAAGTTGGTTGATTTATTTTTGTTTTCCTGTTTTAAATTTATTTTTAAAATTCAAAAAATTGTGACCCACTCGAATGGAAATATTACTCTGTGTTCTCTTAAATTCTATTGGAGAAATATTTAAAAAAAGATTCGTTGGCAGTGTTTCAAGCTTCTGTATTGAAGGACTGGGCTAATACACGAGAACCTAAAATTGAAACTAACCAACAGTGACTTGCACACCTCATGTTTGAAAGAAAACCTACATCTTTTAACTGTTGTTGACCTCTACTGTCTTTTATTGTGAAAAGTGTCAGCAGTTGACAGGGAGACCACCAGTGCTTATGTCTTGTCTAAACTAGACAAAATCGGACGTGTACCCTCTGTACAGCTGTACTGTGGTATGGCTTAGTAACAACCATAGAAGCTGTAGTGTAGCCAGAGTACATGCATTTTTTTCACCATGTTAGGTTCTGAATGCTGCTTGTGTGGATGCAGCCCTAGGTACTGCTAGAAACAATGTTGATCGCACTTCTCTGTTCGATTACCACTTATTTTTCCATCATTGTTAGGGGATGTTGCACTGGTGAAAGTACAGAGATCTTATGTGCAAAATGATAAAGTTCCAAGCAATTTTCTGTAGAAAATTCTAATTCACTTAATTTCATTCTGATACCGCTTCTGCTGTACTTCTAAGTAGATGAGCTGGTTTTTCCATTTCCTATTCTGGACTGCACCACTACAAAAGTATAAATTCCATTCCAGAGTAGGAATGTTAAAAATCGTGTAATGGAGTTAACCGTATAACTGCTGAAAATCTCAGCGGTTACTTGGTTAGCTGCGCTGCAGGCTCTGCAGCATAAAGTTTAGCCCTTGCCTGGCTCTGCTCCTGCCGAGGAGGCTTTGCTGGGGCAGCAAAGCCTTCACCCGGGAGCTGGCCAGGCAGCCGGTTCCCACCTGGTTTCTGGGGATGCAGCTTTGCTGAGTGTAACCAACGCTGTTAACGGATAAGCATCTGCTTGTCAGTTAAATGGTTAGTCATTTACACTCAAACATCCCTTCTCCGAAGGAGGCTGAAATTCCTTCTGCATATAGTTTTTTGATTGTACAGTAATTGTTTTGGGGAATCCTTCAGTTAATAAAATTATTATAAAAATATCTGTAAAGTTCCAAATATTACCTTTCTATAATTTCTGCAACTCAGTAAGTAACCTTTCCCCCATTTCAGAATAACCTCTCAGAATTGCAGTCTTTGATAACAAAATGGAGACGCAGCACCCAGTTGATGCTTTATGAACTCCAGTCAGCCTTGTCTACAGATGGCAAGAAACTGAGCCTCACTCTGTTGATAGACAATTTTGGATTAGAAGACAAGTTGCTGCACTACAGTAGAACAGAAGACGACTTTACAGATATGTAACACAATTACAAAGGTCTGCGTTATTAAAAAAAAGTCTTCAGAAAAGATTGAATATAAACTGATTGCATTGTAAGAATTAAATTATCATGATAGTTTTTCAGTAGTGGACTGTTGTAATACTGTTCTGTATATGCTGTAAGAGGCAGTTATTTTCTTAAAGGGATTATTTTATTTATTTGTATGGCAGAAACTTACTTGTTGAGAATTGTCCTTGGTGGATGTAAAAACAGATGCATCCTCTCTGATCAGTTTTACATAGTACAGTACATCTCTTGTTTGATATAATGGGATCAAGTTAAGTGCTTTTTGTAGTTGTACTGAGATGTTGAGGAATTTAACACATACATATTCTGAAAGTTTCTTCAATTTGCTAGTCGATTGATGCAAGCCTTCTAAGGATTAAGTCTATGTGTAATCAAATTGCATGTTGTCAATTACTGAAGCAATATTGAGTTTCGATACCTGGCTTTATTTCCTGTGATACTAGAAGCAATACATATTCTATTGTATTTAACAAAAACAGAACTCTCTCTAATGTATTTAAAGTCACATTTAATTTACCTTTCTGCAATAATTCTTTGTAAATCCCATAGACATTTCCTCCTCTTTGCTTCTTGTGTTTTAGTTCTAATGTGCGAGTGGTATTTTATAATGGTAGAGATTGTGTGAGAGAAATAGATTCCAAATTGTCACTGTCCTCCTTGACCGTCTATTTATTTTAGTTGTTTCTTCACTGAATTTCTTTTTTTTCTTCAAAATTCTTCATCCTGTAATTCATTAGAACCCCAACTGCCCCCCACCTCCAGGATGCACCAAATCCTTGTACATACCCAGATTCTTAATTTACTCTAATTTTCTTGTATTGCACAGGTGTCCATTTAGTCTCCCTTCCTCAACATTGAATCACTTCTGATGCATCTGACGAAGTGGGTCTTTGCCCATGAAAGCTTATGCTCCAACACTTCCGTTAGTCTATAAGGTGCCACAGGACTCCTTGCCGCTTTTGCAGATTCAGACTAACACTGCCACCCCTCTGATACTTGACAAACTGCTAATGAGGGCTTGGCAGGATATAAGAAAACTAGGGCTACGTCTACACAGTAACAGCAATCAAGAAGTTTTGATAACAGATTTAGAGTTTGTTAAACAAAAGTATTAATGCTGTTAGTAATGTCACTTTTTGGAATGGGATTCTGACTTGATCCATATTTCTTAGATGAGAGCAGAAATAATTCAGGTGGAGGGAAAATTATAATGGCAGGAAACTTGTGCACCAGTCCATCTTAGAACATGTGGTAAAATTTAGTTAAAGGTTCCTCTTTTTTTCCCCCCTTTTCCCATCTGTTTGGGGAGAGGTGGTATGAAAAGAAATTGCATGCCAGCACAACTGAAGATAGATTCTACTAGTGGGATATATAATAGAAACTGAGTCCAGTAGGGTAGAACTCTAGTAGTAAGGCTTATGTAATCTTAAAAAAAATTGAACAGTTTTTATATACGGTGAAGTGGAATAAAATTTAAGAGCAGAAATAAGATACACAATCTCTTAATTGAAACCATTCAATTAAGAGGGGGAGGGATAGCTCAGTGGTTTGAGCATTAGCCTGCTAAACCTAGGGCTGTGAGTTCAATCCTTGTGGAAGTGATTGGGGGCAAAAATTTGTCAGAGATGGTATTTGGTCCTGCTGTGAAGGCAGGGGACTGGACTAGATGACCTTTCAAGGTCCCTTCCAGTTCTAGGAGATAGGCAATCTCCATTATAAAAACATAAACTTAACTTGTATCATCGAGAATTGAAAACCAGTTCATACTTCACTTACCAAGCCTGCTGAGTTCAGAAGCGTGTATCACTTCAGTTATAGTAAGTGGAAAAAACAGTCGTGTAAACATAGTGCTGAGAACACTTTCCTGTGGTATTTGCAGACCTTTGCCTGTTCAGTGTGCAGTGGTATCAACTAAAGAGGTAAAATATGGGTTCCAGAACTCAAGACTTGGAAGTTAAACAAAGCAGGAGTGGGCTTTTAAATTATAATATAATTGAGGTAAAGAGCATCTAAAGCTGCTTGTTATGGTATCATATAGCAATGATGATGATCTGTTTTGTTTTAAGTAATCATTATGAGTAGAATGAAATACCAAATATAAACAAGTAATCTGAATTTTAACAACCTAATTTTAGTTTTACTACGTGGGGCAATTTTGCCTTATATTTTTCCTAAACAGCAAAGATGGAAATAAAATTCAGGGTTTTCTGAATTGATTCCATTGTTCAGTACCCTAGGAATGTGTGTTGCAGACTATCAAATACACAAGGTCACGGTGTTCAAAACATCTATTTTTATAGTAATAAACTACATGCTTATGCTATTAAGCTACAAAATCATTCTATGCTTACAGAAGGCACCCCAAACATAAAACAACTTTCATGCTCAGTCTAGTAAAATATTTTAAAATAGCAAATCAAGGAAGAAATCAATTCATTTGTAGAGAGATTTATCTATCCTAAGAAAGAGTTAAGCAGTGATGAACTCGCGTGTGCTACGTCAGTGGAAGTACCGTTCTAATAGTCCATTTCAAAAAGGGCAGGAAATGTTCTCATTCTCAGCCTCTCAACTTCCGCCTGAAGAACTGAAATCTCCTGTGCCTGTTCTTTTGCAAGTTCCACTAGTTGTCGCTGCTGCACAATATCCTGATAATGCTTCTTTGCAGCTTTTTCAGCAGCCGGCTGTGTGTCTGTGCAAAGCAAAATATCAGAAATATTTTCTCTACCAGAAGTTAGCTATTGTTCACTTCTGGGGAAATTTTGCACTATTGTGTGCATGTGTAATTAATGAGCTGGGCGTATTTTGGGCAGAAGAAAGCTTTTGCTGGAATGTTCCTGCCGTTTTGCCTTTTCCCCACAAGAGGGTTCTGTGGTGCTCGAACACAGCTGCTGCTTCCAGCCAGTTAAGGAAAAGAAAGACTTAGCCTACTTTCTTCACAGCAGGTAGGTGAGACAGGATGGGGGGGGGGATCATATAGGCACATGAGAGCAAGTGGGGGAGCACAGACTGGGATGGGATGAATGGGAGTAGAGGCACAGGGCCATAGGTGGGTGGGAGGTGCAGGACCACGTGGGCAGAGGGAGAAGAGGTCAGGCAGAGGGCTGGCACAGACACATGGGGGAAAAAAGAGGAGGGTGCAGAGTCACATAGGAATAGGGAACCACATGAAGAGAGGGGTGCAAGGACACATGGGGAACAAGGCAGATGTACCTGGCTGAATGTGAGACCAAGAAGAAACTCCGTAAGGGTATGTCTACACAGAAGCATTATTCCGAAATAACAAAGAGCACGTCTACATTGAAAGCCAATATTTTGAAGAAATGGTGCACTGGAGGACTTCTTACTCTGACTCCTGTAATCCTCATTTTACAAGGAGTAAGGGAAGTCAAAGGAAGAGAGTTCTTCGATTTCCTGCTGCGCAGATATCGCCAAAAGCCAAATTAAGCTATTTTGACAAGCTACGCAATTGACCCAGCTCAAGTTGCTTAGTTTAATCTGACTTTTACCTTGCTATGTAGATGTGCCCTAAGAGTCCCTCCCCGCCCCAGAACGGAAAACTGTTCTACACTTTTTCCCACCCATGTCAAACCTCCAAGTTCACATCCAGGCTCCTTCCCAGCAATTACTCCCTGTTCCTCAGCTCCATTACCCCTGACTACAAGCCTTTGCCGTGCTTCTAAAAGGGTGTGGGAAATGTGGTTCTGTACTGTATTTGAAATGAATTACTACTCAAGAGTTCTGTGTTAATATGTCTGACAAGGAATCTATTTGTCAATAAACATTTTCTGAATCTTTTCGTTGTCTGAATAATACAGACTTGCGTGCTGACAGGGATTTTGCAATAAATGACCAAAAATAATTGAAACTGGTGGGATTATATTGCTATTTTAGGTAAATAAAATATACAGAGTTTTGCAGAATTAAAAAATTGTGCACAGAATTTTTAATTTTTTTGGTTCAGACTTCCCTCAGAAGTAAGGATAAGTCCTGCCTCAGAGTGTATCTTATTTCAGTGGCTAGACTTGCAGAAGAGCTCATATTTGGGACAAATTTTTGTTCTTGCAAATATATTGCTATTTCTGTTTTGCCCAGGCACAAATGCTGAGAGGAGGATAGGTGAATTTATTTTTCAGAGATGTTAAAATCATTGCACCTTATTCTCTGCTGATGCAAATGGGAATAGTTTTATGACTTCAATGGGGTTTCACCAGCTTATACTAACAGCAGTAAACTAACGAGTTAATACAAGCAAAAATCTCAAGTCTAGACACAGCTGGTCCTCGAGTTGCGAATGGTCAACTTACAACCGTTTGCAGTTACGACCAAAGCTGTCATAAATAGCAGACTCCAAGTTACGAACACGATCTGCGCTTATGAACAGCGCGCTTGCGTGTAACTCTATGGGGTCCAACTTACAAACAAACCGAGTTACGACCAATTGCTTGGTCTGTAACCGGTTCGTAAGTCGGGGAGAGGCTGTATATCCCTTACAGTCTGATGGACATAGACATTTTAATCTTAGGCATGGTAATACTGTTTTGTCCCTGTAGTGCTGTTAATGGAGAATAAGATTGACCCGCTTTAGAGCTGTATTTTATGAATGTCCTTTACTTGTGACCTAAAGTGTGCTACAGAACATGACTCACCAGCTGCTTCAAAGATGTGCCGCCTTTCTGAAACAGACACAAGCATTTCTTGCAGCTCCTGGCTAAGTTTGTAGTTTGCTTGTTCCTTTAGACAGATTCGCTTCTCCAGATCTTTAAATATTTTCTGACGGTTCTTCATATTCTTCTTGTGCAGCTGTCCATTTCCAGATGTATAAAGCAAATATGCAACTTTATGAAAGCTGCCTGGACAAACTTTAATGGAAATCTGTCAACTAACGCACACTGGGGCTCACTTTGCTTTTATATTTGGCTAGTTAGTACAATGTCACTTCATTTTACACAGCACCTTTCATACAAATCGTATCCCAATTTTAGGGAGTTCCAATATAACCACTAGGAAACAAATAAGAGGTATGGGCCAAATGAAAAAAGACTTGAAGATGAAATAAAGAGGGGGAGATGCAGGAGAACTATCCCAGATAGCAGGATCTACAGAGAAAAAAAGTATCAGAGGGGTAGCCATGTTAGTCTGGATCTGCAAAAGCGACAAGGAGTCCTGTAGCACCTTATAGACTAACAGATGTATTGGAGCAGAAGCTTTCGTGGGCAAAGACCCACTTCGTCAGATGCATGTAGTGGAAATTTCCAGAGGCAAGAAACAGGCTAGAGATAACAAGGTTAGTTAAATCAGGGAGGATGAGGCCCACTTCTAGCAGAAAAAAAAGGCTCTTCTGCCAACTTGCATGAAATTGTGTGAAAGGATAGAGAGGAAGGTGGCAAATGCCACAGCTGTAAGGAGGATCTTAGAGAAAGTGGGAGATGGCTACTGTATGCTGGAGGAAGTCCATGGATGATTTATAAACAAGGGCAAATTTTGGATGAGACAGTGGATGGGAGCTGGGCTCATGCTTTTTTGTATGTAGGCGGACAGCACTATGCATGTGGAGGAGCTTGGAGAGGCTGGATATGAGAAACCCATACAGAAAGTGGCGAGGAGTCCTGTGGCACCTTATAGACTAACTGAGGTGTAGGAGCATAAGCTTTCGTGGGCAAAGACCCACTTTGTCAGATGCATGTAGTGGAAATGTCCAGAGGCAGGTATAAATATGCAGGCCAGAATCATTTATACCTGCCTCTGGAAATTTCCACTACATGCATCTGACGAAGTGGGTCTTTGCCCACGAAAGCTTCTGCTCCAATACATCTGTTAGTCTATAAGGTGCTACAGGACTCCTTGTCGCTTTTGCAGATCCAGACTAACATGAAAGCTCTTTCAGTACAGAAAGCAATAGGAGATGTCAAAGGTTGGGGTCAAA